CTATTATCTGCATATGTTTCTAGTGATCTTAAATATCTAGACCCATCAAAACCATATCCTATCTTAAAATATTACTCTTTTCTTTTGCATCAAGAATGTACTGACAAAGGATAAATCATTTTAACTATTATTCTGAATGTATTTAAAATATATAACTTTAAATAAAAAAAAATTATCTACTGTGTTTAGGTTTAAATACTGGTGCTAATTTCTCACCACTAGGTAAGCAAATAATTACTAACATTCAGTTGAATGCGNTTCTCACCACTAGGTAAGCAAATAATTACTAACATTCAGTTGAATGCGAATAAGAAGTTCATTTGAATAATAAAATAAGTTATTAAGATAATATTTATAATATGTTGGTTTCTTGGAATTCTAAAGATCCTAAATATCTAGACCCATTTACAATATATCCTTTTCTAAAGTTTCACTCTTTTCTTTGAAACATGAATGCACTATCAAAATGATTTTAACTTTTATTCTAAATACATTTCGTATTTAACACTGTAGTGTTGCAATTACATAAGTCTTTTAAAATCTAAATTTTTAAGTGCTAATTAACTATTATTTACTTTAATTTTGTTTTGTACTATAATACGGTTTAAATATATAAAATTAATCTACTGTGTTTAGGTATAAGATTTTATACTAACGATCTATTACGTAAGTAAAGAATAACTAATATTCAATGAGATACGACTAAAGAGTTCATTTCAATATAATATAATTTATTAAGATAATATGTTTTATCTATTTTTATCATCATCGATATCTAGTGATCCTAAATATGTAGAGCCATTCACAATTTATACTATCTTAATATATCACCCTTTTCTTTTGTATCAAGAATGTACTGACAAAAGTATAAATCATTTTAACTATTATTCTGAATGTTTTTAATATATATAACTTTAAATAAAAAAAACTTATCTACTGTGTTTAGGTTTAAATACTATTGCTAATTTCTCACCACCATGTAAGCAATTAATTACTAACATTCAGTCGGATGCGAATAAGAAGTTCATTTGAATAATAAAATAAGTTATTTAGATAATATTAATTATATGTTGGTTTCTTGGAATTCAAAAGATCCTAAATATCTAGACCCATTTACAATATATCCTTTTCTAAAATTTCACTCTTTTCTTTGAAACATGAATGTACTATCAAAATGATTTTAACTTTTATTCTAAATACATTTCGTATTTAACACTTTAGTGTTGCAATTACATAAGTATTTTAAAATCTAAATTATTAAGTGCTAATTAGCAATTATTTACTTTAATTATGTTTTGTACTATAATACAGTTTAAATATATAAAATTAATCTACTGTGTTTAGGTATAAGCTATTATGCTAACGATCCATTAAGTAAGTAAAGAATATCTAATATTCAATGAGATACAACAAAAAAGTTCATATCAATAATAAAATAATTTATTAAGATTATATGTTTTATCTATTTTTATCATCATCGATATCTAGTGATCCTAAATATTTAGAGCCATTCACAATTTATACTATCTTACTGCATATGTTTCTAGTGATCTTAAATATCTAGACCCATGCAAACCATATCTTATTTTAAAATATTACTCTTTTCTTTAGAAATGTAAACGTACTATTAAAGAATAACTAATTTTATATTTGATTCTATTTACATTTCATATTTATTACTTATGTGTTGCTATTTTGTCACATGTCATTATATTTTTAATATTGTTAGGGCGAGCGGTATATTAATATTTAATAATAGAACGCTCCAGGGGCGTACTGGCTATGTGTGAGGCCAGTCGGCAATTTTTTGATTCAATGAGGCCATAATTAATGGCAGCTTTTAGGGGCCTTGGCCCCCAGGCCAAGTATTTTTTCTTATTTATTTATACATCTTCTATCTTAAGTTATAAATATTCTGCTAAAAATAATAGTGTTATCTGAAGAAAAAAAATATAAAAATTTGTAAATATCTATTTATTGAACTTAAAATGTGTTCACAATACTTTATAACTTTATAAGTAAATTTTATTTTTATCAATTTATAAAAACTTAAAATTAATAACTATTAAAGAGTATTTTTACTTCCGAGTACTATTAAAAAAAAAAAAATGACTATTTTAACAGCTTATCCGATTAGAAGCCTCTTCATTTCTGTTGAATTGGCAGCCAATTGATCGATAATAATGTTATATGGTACTTCCATATCACGTTCAAACGACATTAACATAAATGCTTCTAATTTTTCGTCAGACAGAGATGATCTTAATCGATTTTTAATTTTTTTAAGGATTGAGAAGCTTTATTCGCAAGTTACTTGTGTAAACGCTAAAGTGGTTACCAGCTTATAAGTAGTGTATAACTCGTTATAATCAGTTGTGTGAATAACTAGTGAATACAAAAACTCGAATGCACATGAAATGCATGACTTACATTTCAACTTATTCACCGCACATTTTAGCTCTTTTTCTGAANCATGACTTACATTTCACCTTATTCACCGCACATTTTAGCTCTTTTTCTGAATCTTCTTCATTGTCACTAATTTCATCTTCGAATGTACTATACTGGCTATTACTTATCAGACACACATGGGTAATTGCATCATAATTCTGAGCAAATTCAATCAATTGACGTTGCACCACCACAACGTCAACTCGAGCCAAATTTGCAATATTTGCCATAGATTTTTCAGGGAACATGAATTCTGGCTTTTTCATTTGATAAATTCTAGGGTCTAAAAACGAAGCATCTTGAATTATACATCGGTTGTTCATATACCTAAAAATAACAGAAAAATTTCTTAATAGTTTGATAAAAAAATGCAAATAAATTTAAAACATTTATAACTAATTAATTACTTAGCTTTTAAAATAACATTTTACCTGTCGTTTAATGTTCCAAACGCATTGTTGAAAACTGTTTTGTACACTTCGACTTCAAACCTTTTTTTTTTCATCTTTTTCATCGGTAACTAATTGACCTGGCATTTTTTTTTTTGTCGAATTCTGTTTTTTATTAATTCACAAGACCATGTTGTGTTTTCGGTACCATCTATGTTTTCCAGTATGGATTGGAAATATTGGAAAAATTGTGTTGCTTTTTCAAAAACTGGTTGAAAATTATTAACTCCTTCTATTAATTTGGTTTTCAAATTATTTAGTAATAAAAAATCCAATGTATAATTTAATCTTTTTGATTGAAGACATGCTGATGCTGAAGAACTTAGGGAAAATAATGACTGAAAAACAAATGCCGTTAGTATTGTTTCATATTTTAACATCTTGTTAGCTATACTTTGAGCTTCTAGTTTTATGACTGAGTCAAAATCATTAGAATTTGCCACGGTTAACAAAGCTTTGATAACCGTTAAAAATCTATTTTTTTCTTCATTAGGCGTATTTATTGGGTCAAATACGTGGTTTAACGCAACATCTTTGCTCCACCAACGGGTTTGTCCAATCTTTTGTAAGCGAAGCATTTTGTCAGACCCAACGTGATTTTCAACCACAGTTCTTTTCCATTTTGCCATCCGCTTATAAGACTGACCAAAAAACATTGCTAAACGGTCTAGCAACAAAAACAAATTCACTGCTTCAGGACATGAACTAGCTGCTTGAGTTAGTGTGAGATTTAATATATGACTAAAACAATGAGTGTGTATGGAGTTTGGAGCATCTTTTTTTATTAGAGCCTGTAAACCACGATGGATTCCATTGAAATTAGCTGCTCCATCATAAGCCTGACTGACTATATTGTTCAAAGTTAAACCAACATGTTCAAGACCATTTTTAATAGTAGTATATAAATCGGTTGCTTCTGAAGAATCTACAGGTAAAAATTTAATCAAGCGTTCTTTAATTTCACATTTAACTACATAACGAATGCAAATGGCTAATTGGTCTGTTACACTAACGTCTTGCGATGAATCTACTAGAAGACTAAAACACTTAACTTCTCGTGCTTCTTTTCCTATTTCAAGTTGAATAAAATTAGTTATTAAAGTTATAATTTTATTGATCGTAGTCTTAGAAATAAATGTTACAAGCGAACCTCGTTCTCTACAGGGTGTCACTAAATTATGATTTTTACTTTTTTTTATAACATATTCTAAATGTTTTTCAAGAAGCGGATCAAATTTTAACCAAGTTCTTAGTAATTCGAGAAAATTCTCATGATTTATACTTTTATCGTCTAATGAATAGGCTTGTTCTCCTTTATGTGATCTATAAGCGATACTTTATCTGCCAATATAAAGAATACCTTCAATTATTCTTGATAAGAAAAGCCTTCGTTCTGAAACTTGTACTAAAAAAGTTTCGTTGGTTTACGTTTATAAGTGCTGATATATCATTAGATTTTTTTGCCTACATATATGCGTACACGGTTTCATTGTGTACTTTAGAGTTTACATGCACTTGAACTTTCTTGTAAATGTGCTTAGTTAATGTTTTCATACCTTGTACAAATAATGAATCCTTAATATATGAAAAAGCCATGCAAACTGAACAATACACATTTTCTTCTTCTTTATTAAATGATAACCACTGTCTTGGCACTCGTGTTTTATCAGTATCAGACAACTGGCGGTAATACACTTTATATGGATTAAAAGGCAACTCTGCATATTGGGGTTGAATAGGATGTTTCAACAGAAACGTTAACTTTTCAGCTAAATTTGAATCATGTTTTAAAGCTTTAAAGTTAAGGGATGAAGTAGACAATAACTGGGATGATAAATCTAACTCTTGTAAGTCTTCATTTGTTGTTGGTTCATTTGTATTGTTTGTAAATTTTTTAATTTTTATATCTTCGTCAATAAACTCCTCAATTTCAATGTTTTTATTGGTATTTCCTGAGTTCTTAAATCTACAGAACTTTCAGAACCATGAGTTGAATTAAATGAAACTTCAGTCTCAGTAACTATTACATTTTCCTTGTGTGTAGAATTATTGCTAGTTACAGGGATTAATAATGATGAAAATGTGATATCTGTTTGTCTGTATTTATAGATCCATGATGTTTTAAATCGTCGTCGTCATTTTGGTGAGTTGAAACAAGTTGAGATTTTAATTCACTTAGATTTTGTCCAAAATTAAGTTTTAACTGTTTTTTGTCTAGTGCAATACTATGTAGTTTTTGTTGGTTTGCTTCTTTTCTGCGTGCTCTACCAGATTTACGTTTTGGTATAGGTCCATCACTAATGCTACGTTTACGTTCTTCCATACTAAATTTAGAAAAAAAATACTCATCGTAAATTTTGTTTACGTGCTTAAAAAATAATTTTATCCATTTTTTTCAAATTTAAACAGATATAAAAAAATTTTAATTCTGAATGTGTCTATGAATTAGTTTTCTTTTTTTCTAGGTTTCTTACGAATCCAAATTCCAGGCCCCTTAATATAAAACTATATGTTAGAAAACATGTAGATATTATATTTACAACTAAACTAAGTATCTATAATTAATATTTAGATAGCTAGATGGTAAATTTAATTTTAAAGCGAAAAGGAAAGAACGCGTCAAAGTCAATTTTCAAAAGACGGTCAGACAATATTAAAATGTTGGTAGGTACGGAATAACATAATGGACGGCGGCCGTTGAGTAATTGCACCGCGTACCGTACAAATACCTACTTACGTCCTACCTAATTAATTTTTAATTAATAATTTATAATAATTTCAAAAGTCAAATAGAGCCATAATTTATAGTTATTAATCAATAGGAAATAATTAATTTTATTGTTTTTATACCTTAACTTAATAGAACGTTTCAATGAATCCTCAAATCATACNTTAGAGCCATAATTTATAGTTATTAATCAATAGGAAATAATTAATTTTATTGTTTTTATACCTTAACTTAATAGACCGTTTCAATGAATCCTCAAATCATACAAAATTTAGTGCGGGCTGCGGAGTGTGGGTTAACGGCGTGTCACGCTCGGTTTATTGTGGTCGANACGCTTGGTTTATTGTGGTCGATTGTGTTCATGTGTTCTTTTGAAATGCAATAGATACTATCTATTAGATAGGTAATAACACTATAATATCAGTTTTATGGCAATAGTTTATTAGTACACAGATTAAACGAAAACGATTAGCTCATCTGCAATTTCCACACGAAACAAAAATACAAACTAAAGAAAAGAAACACGCCAGCACGATGTATTACCGCAAACCGTTGTTATTTCATTGTACTACTTACTGTAATTTGTAGGATATAAGTTATAAGTTATAACGATATCGATATCAAGATAACGCTTTTATGCGTAGCTGAGAAGGTATTAGTTTTACTATGATGTTTTTTTTTTTTGTGTCTGTGAACGCTCAATCTCAACTCTCGCTGGACCGATTTTGATGAACAATTTTTCAAAAGATCACAAATTGTATCTAGTCGAAGACATTACCCTCAAAAATTGAAAAACATTCCCTCGTTCCGCGTAAACGGCGGAAATTCCCCAAAAAATTACAAATTTAAAAATCGCTAATTTTCGATATTTTTTCAATTTTTTTTACTTAAAAGTGCCATAATTTTTTTAAAAATGATCGAATCAATATAACTTTTTTTTTATAAATACATTAGATATTTCCCTATCATTTTTTAAATTTTTGTGAACATTTAACCCTTTAACAGCCCACAGGAAGGGTTTCCAAATGGTAGCTTTTTTAAAAAAATTTAACTTTTTCAACTTAACTTTTGAAAATGTTCCGAAAAGACTGAAACTTTTATATATATCTTAAATTAAAGCTTATGTAATATACTTTAATTTGAAAAAAAAAATTTGATCTCTGGATTTGTCTTCATGGTAAAAATGACTACCGTATTCAAAAATTTGCTATTTTTGTGTTAAAATTCTGTGTTTTGTATTTTATTTTATTTTAAAATACCTGACAAGGGGAGTACAGATTTTCATAAATATTATATAAATTAAAATTTAATATAGTATAGAAAGTTAAACTTATTTAAATTTGTTTGCTTCTTTTAAGTCGAGAAAAATAACTTTGAAATTTGAACTAGCTTAAATAGCTAATTTGTTCACATCGACGGTAAAAACGTACAGTGCCGAGTTGGTAAAACTTGAGTTTTACAAGATTGGGTTACGAGGTTCCAACCCGCGTATTGCAATGAATTTTTTGCATTTTTTCTTAATTCTTTTTAAGTTAGTATAAATTTTTAACTCGTTTGATTTTTATCTCATTTAGATTCAATAACTTCAATAAAGATCAAGGATCCCATCACTTTAGTCGCCCCTTGCAAGAAGAAATTTCTTATTCGTATTAAAATTATTTTACTATATTTTAAGTTTTCGCTTCGATGCAAAGCTGAGAAGATATTTTTTTGTGACTATCATTTATTTTCTCTGCTCTAACTTGACCTACTTTTTTCAACAATACGTCAAATTACTACAATTCGTATCTATTTATTGGTTATTTTAGTTAAAGTAAAACATTAAAATTAATTCAGTTCATATTTTAATTGTAGTATCTTCTTAAACACCAAAAGATACTATGAAATGATTACTATTATTTCTATTTAAGTTATCTATTACGATAAAAATGCAAAAAAATATTGAGTTACTCTGATAAATTTACTATAAATAGTAATTATAAAATTTCCTGACTGCATATTTTTAACACATTAAAAATCAAATTATTACTGATTTGATTTTTAATATATGTTAAAAATAATCAGTCCAAATTTTCATTTTTAACCTATTTTTTTGGTTCTTCAAAGTTGATGAAAAATTTTTGATAAAGATTTATGAAAGTTTATAACTTTTAAATTTTAACTAGCTTAAATAGCCAATTTTTTCACCCGACGGTAGCGACGTATGGTTGCCGAGTTGGAAAAACTTATGTTTTACACGCTTGGGGTACGAGGTTCCAACCTGCGTATGGTAAGCCAACTTTTTACATTTTTTCTTAATTTTTTTTAAGTTTGAATAAATTTCAACTCG